ATTAAGCTCAGCACTCTAGGTTCTCTGTGTTAATGGTAGCTCCAGCCAATGCTCCTGCTTAACTTAATCCACAAAGCCAATACACTGATTGCAGAATCCTTTAGCAAAAGAACTTCTGAGGAACTTTCAGCATTTGGAGTACTGTTTTCTCTTGGATACTTTGTCTGAATACAATATCTGAGATCACTTGAATCCAGAGTTCTATGCAGAGATGTTGCATTTGAGCAAATAAAAGGAGCAATGATAAACTTGCCCTAAACAAGGAAACATTTACATAACTTTACTTCTTCCTAAGTTAGAAATGTTAAATAGTACTGAGCACTTAAAGAGAAATGATGGTTCAGAGGCCTGCTCCCTCCAATAATAGGAAAGGAACACAGAACAGGAGCCACAGCCCCTTTCAGACACATGTGAAGGCTTGTATACCAGCCCCACATACTGATTTCCAGATGATTCTGTGACTAAAAGGCACTCTTAAAAGTGGGGATCTGCAATGGCAATACTTGATTGAAAAGCAACCAAAAACCTAGCAACTCAAATAAAAAAATAATAATAATAAAAAAGTGTTTTAATCTATAATCATTAGCCATGTACAAATCTGGACTCATTAACTATTTACACAGTTCCATGACATGCTGACCAAGACCATCTTAATCAAAGACATCAGCGATTTACAAAGACTCTTCTATTACGACAAACATACACAGTACACAGATTTAACTGGGAATTGGTCCTGCTTCGAGCAGGGGGTTGGACTAGATGACCTTCTGGGGTCCCTTCCAACCCTGATATTCTATGATTCTATACCAAGGAAAGGCCAGAAAAGTGCTTCCTTTAATTAAAACAAGCTGTTCTGGTCTCATCCTAAGCAAAAAAGCATCCACTCCGAGCACAAATTAAATATAAAAGCCCCTCAACCTGATCAGCTTATTGGATTTTTATTTTCTCAACAAAACTCAGCTATATGCCTAGTTTCAACTATTAGAGAAAATCAAAATACTCACATTATAAACCAATAACCCTAACTTTAAAGCAATAACACGGCAGCAGGGGTAGTTATAGATGTAGCTTTTTGCATTCAAATGTTTTCTGATTTTATATATATTTTATATTTCTTTATATACATAAACATATATAAAGAAATATAAAAATATCTTATTGGCAAATAACTAGAGCAAGATTTTCTTTGCTAAAGACATTTCTAAATAGAGAAACAGAGCCACACAAATGCTGACGCAATATACTTTTATCCTCTCATCCAATTTGTACACTCTACAGAAAAGTACTTTTATTTTTGGCACAGCACAAGAAAAAATTAGTTTGCATAAGTTTTGTTTATTGTGTGGGTATTTTGTTTTAAATACTTACTTCTACTTTCAATAGTATATCAAGCTTTTTACATTAGACAAAGAAAAGATGTGTATACATTGTCTTGGTTAGAGACTATGGAACAAAGAGTCAACTCTAAGTGTAAAAGTCTATACGGGAAAATTCTGCCTTCAGGTACATAATTACTTTGATTCATAGCAGACAGAAAATTAAAAACCTAAAGATTTTCCACAACCTTCGACGTGAAGAGTCCTCTGCAGTTCTATACAAGAGACCCAGATTAAATACCAAGTCTTTCACTCCCTTAGCCAGAAAAGAAAGGAGAGTGTGTTTCAACAACAACCATTTAAACTGAGTAGCCAGAAGTTTCTAAGAGCATTTTATATGGAATTTCTCAGTAACTATAGAATGGTAGGTGTTCATGGCACCAACAGAGAAAGAGAGGACACCAGTCCATGCATGTTTGTTTCTTTAACATTCATTTTCTTTACATACTTATTTCAATCAAGCCAGGAGTTTCAATAAAGTTTTATGAATATATGGGCCATAAATCTATCTGAAACATACCAGTACATTCCACAAAGTATTTCTTGCCTAATGATAACATAAAAATAATCAATTATGTACCATATGTCATAGATGAAATCGTCACTAGCTGGGAAAGGTAGCCAACTGTCTTGTACCACCACCTACAGCTGAACAATTGAAACTGATTAACAAATTTAAGAAGCCTGTATATACACCCTTCTAACCGTGAATCTAAAACAGCAGTCCTTTCATGGTTGAAGGGGGAAAAGTTAAAAAGCCTCAAAACAAAAGTCAGTAACAGTTTTATATGGTTGGTACTAGGAGAAACTGGATGTTTGTCATATGTGCAACATATCTCTTCTATTCAGTGAGGAATAGATGTAGTATAAGAGTCTCATTCTGCAATTAAAAAATTCACGAAGTGCCAAAAGACTACAACTTTCTCCTGAGGACATTCTGCACCAAAAATTTAAAAATTCTGTGCACAATTTTAAAATTCTGCAAATTTTGTCAAAAAATGTGGAAGCGCCAGCATGGCATTGGGGAGCACAGGCCATTGGCTGCACGGAGGTGGGAGATCACTGTGCAGCTCCCCCCGCCCCCCCGGGACACAGACTCAGCAGTGAGGCTGCACCCAACCCACACAGCGCAAGGACTGGGCCTGCCCCAGAAACATCCCAGGACCCTGTCCCTTCATGCCAGGTGCACCAGCTGTGGGCAGGCAGGCTCAGCAAGGCAGGATCCAAGTGTGGGGGGATCCAGGTGTGGGCTGAGAGGGTTCTGTGTGGGGCTATCTGGGTGCAAACAACTCAGTGGGAGACCCAGGTGCAGGGGGACATCTAACTGCACAGGTGCTTGTTGGGGGGCGTTCTGGGTGCAATTGTAATGGGACTCTGCAGGGGGGGGCCCAGGTGAAGGTGACTGGGGATCAGCAGGGGGTCAGCGTGAGGGCAACAGAGCTCAGCACAGGGGCCTGGGTGTGGGGGACCTAGATGCTGGGAGGAGTGGAGCTCAGTGGGGTGGGGATCCAGGTGCATCTGGTTGGGGCTTGTTGGGGTGGGGATCCAGGTGCAAGTGGCTCATTGTGGTGGTCCAGGTGCAGGGGGAATGGGGCTCATCAGGGGGGTTCGGGAGATAAGGGACCTGTACAGGGATCCCTCCTCCTGCAGCTGAGGAGCCATGGGTGCAAGGAGTGGGGGAAGGAGGGATGCAGCAAAGGGAAGGGAGTTTGCAAAGATTCCTGCAGCTGGGGGAAGAAATCTGGAGGAGGCTGGGAGGTTGACCCAGCCCCAGATGCTGTGCAGGGGAAGGGGAAGTTCTGTCCTCCACACCCTAGCCAGGACTAGCAGCTGAGCCCAGCGCAGGGTAGGAACCACCAGCTGGATCTTCCCCAGTCCCACCTCCTGCCTCATAGTGATTTACCTCTCTGCCGGCTGCCCTGGGCACCCAAAACATACAGCTGGGGAGGGTCGCATGACTGCTCTTGTGGCTTCCCTTGGACATTCTGATGGGGAAACAATTTTTCTGCAGGGAAGCAAAGAAATCTACAGGGGACAAATTCTGCGCATGCACACTGTTGCAGAATTCCCACAGGAATAATGACATCTAAAAAGTGTAGGAAAACAGAAAGGACTGCACCCTTCCAAACTGAACTTCCACTCTGCCAGAGAATCCTCCAACACTTAGTATGATCTTGCTGGAGCTATATATGCCAGCTTCAGAACAATTTTGTGCCAGTAACGCAGTACAGCAAAGGACATTTTCAACTCTACACAGCAAGACTGTTTGCACCCAAAGTAATAGGCACCCCTCAATTAGGTTTATTACAAAATTATTTAAAAGTTACTGAACTTAGTTAAAAAGCGTAACTTCAAAGTGAGTATTTTTGTAACTACACAACTCTGTTGAAGATATTTCATGAATATGAAGGCTTTGTTTGTGCTAGTTTGGGAATCTCAAGAAACTGGCAGTGACTTCGTACTGAATCATGTATTTCAGAAAGTAGTCCATTTATAAAATGTGGATTTTAATTTTACATGAAAAAAATTTGTAAATGCTATTCAAGAACAGCAAATATAACCTTAAATTAATGGGAAATTCTGCGATTCTGCAAAAGGCAACATCCATAAGATCTACCAATTATTTATATAGTGACCAAAATGACAACTAATTGACCAAATGTGTTTCTGATATCATACTAAGTGAAAACCAGGAGTACAATGACCAAAGCATTTCTGTGAGACTAAAGTGTGGCACAACTACCTTAGACACCCTAAGTTAAAAAAGTAGAGGTCATACAAGTACCACAAAGTTTTCATTCTGTTTATATAATTAGATATTTTAAACAAAGAAACTTAACCTACCAGAGAACAAAAATTAGAAAAGGGATCCTGAAAAATAGAAACCTTTCATGTAGTTGCACATGTGAAACAATCACACCATTGCTCTTACTAGTATTTTTTTTTAAACAAAGATGCAATATCTGCACACAGATCTATTTAGCCTTGTGTGCAGAGTAACTGTGCATGTTTCTGAACATTGCAAATAAACAGTAAAAAATTTTAAGTGAAGTTCTATGTAGAATGTATCTAAAAATAGTATTGTAGAATTCTATGTTTAGAGTCCCAGTTTCCACGCAAAATGTATATAATTTACAAGTAAAAAAATTTTTTTCCTAAATGCTAACTCTGCAAACTCTACCAAGGATCCAAAATTCTAGCCGGCTTTATTCCCCCCTTTTCTTGCATTATCACTAAAAATAAAGGATCTGAGGACAAATGATGCCTTTTGGGACAATGTGCAACCCCACTGCCTTCCATGTGTTTGAAAAGGAGAACCTGTCTAGGACTTTGTAAACAACTGATGCATAAGGAGAAAAAACCCAGCTCATTCCCTCATATTAAACTGGCTGTTCAGTGCTAACAAGAGTAAAAACTTGCACAAAAGAAAGCAAATACAACTCTGAATACATACAAAGAGCAGATCTATTCATAAAGAAAGTGCCACTTTCTAATCACAGAAATGAATTTTAATGCTTTATAAGTTAGGACAGCCAAAGAACTGTTTAAAAAAAAAAAAGGGGAGTCTTAGCTTCATAGAACTCATCTATACACCATTTAACAAAATGGATTGAGCTAACTTACCTTCTTATCTTCTTTTACTTTGTGAGTTTTCTTCTTCATTTTTTTGTCATCTAACTCTTGATCTGAAGTGATAGCGGGGTTATCGATTCCACCTTTCCAGGTTTCAACTGGAGACAGAAGTGGATCTTCTTCACTTCCACGATGTCTTCCTTTTCTTTTTGTTTTAGATGTGGTAAAAGCCTCATCATCACTTGCGTCTGAATGTGTTCTCCTGTAGTAAGATTTTGCTTTACTAAACAGTGTTTTGGATTTATATTTGTATTTTGATGGCCTTCTTTCCCCATGACTCTTTGATATTCTGTCAGAAAATCCATTTTCTTCATCTCCTTGTGCATTTATAACAAATGAGTTTCGAATTTTAATAATACGATTCTGACTATCATCTGGAACTGCATAGATATCATCAGTAAAACCTCTGTGTTTAAAAACAGTGTCAATAGGTTCTGCATAATTATCGGATTGGTCTGAATCTTCTGGTGGTGCCAAAGGCACTCGAGAGGATTGTTTCCTTGGGTTTTTACCAATGCCAGCCTCAATCGTTTTTAGAAGGTTTGGATCCAGTTTTTTCACATTTGCCTTAGGTACAAGCGGCTTGGGTTTTATAGGAGGAGGTACTTTGTGGTTGCGTTCATGGTCATGACAGTTGAGTGGTGTGCTATGAACAGGATACTCATTTCCTTCCAAGTCTAATCGATATTTTGAACGATCGCTAGGTGTTGGGAGCAACTGCACATCATCTCCAATTGGGCTATAGGGGGGTGGTGCTTCCGTATCATCTTCTGAATCTGGGTAGTAATTATACGCAAGAGAATTTCCTCTGGGAGACTGCAGGAAAACATCTTCACTTGTATGTGTTGATTCTCTGGTGCTATCAGACATATAGGAATTTTCAATCATGTTTTTCTTCTCTAATACGTCACTGAAGAACAAGGTGAAAACCTCAGTCTGACGATGATACTGAGATAAAGAATATAAAGCTGTAAATTTAGCAGTAATCTCTGTTGCTATATGTTCTCCTTCAGTCATTAATTCCTTGATAGCTTCATTCTCAAAAAAATCTGCCTGGCTATCAGTTACAGCTACCAACTGGACAGGAATAGTGTCCTGTACTTCTGAAAGAAATGCCCGAAGCATTCCCATAGATGCCTTCCTTTTAGCAGAATAAACTAGTATATACCCATGAACTAGTTCATCTTTCCTTACACCAATTGAAGAATGGTATGATAATATGGTTATCTGTATCCGCCTCCTTTTTTCACCTATAATTTTATCAAGCATTAAAGAGTTATTCTGGCCAGCCTGAGCAGCACTACACGAGTGAGAGTCAAGGAAGGGTGAAAGAATAAGATCCACACTAAATGGATCTCCACACATGGCACACATCACAATTCTCAAGTCAGCTTCTGACAGATCTTTAATGGTGGGAACTGGGCTTACAACATCCAAATTGTGTTTAACTGCTTCCAGCACTCCCCTTAGAGCTTGCTTTATTTGAGCCTCATTAAATTTACGTGGATATGTACCAGCAGGCACATCTACAAAAGGACACTGCAACTTATTGGCTAATTGCTGACCTTGGTGTCTCAGAATAGGTAGGTTTTTGCTAATGCTGTCTCTCTGATTAGCCAATATTAACGTAAATGGAAGACTAGCCATATACTTGTCTCTCCTTATCTGAGATGCTTCAGCCCTTATTTTTCCAATGCATTCTCCAATAAAATTGAGGGATTCAATAGAGTTAAACACACAGAAAAATCCATGCGGTTTAAAGGCAGAGGTCCATAACTGACTTAAAAGGTAAGGTGACTTTGCATCAACTGGCCTAAGATCTAGTTCATATATTTTTCCATCTAAGGCATATTCATCATCAGTGGATTGTGTCCGAATCTCATTTGCCAACTCCTGCGCAAGACCATCTTTACCCAAAATGAAAAGATTAACTTTATCAATATTGGCTCTATCATGGTACAAATTTAAGCGACCATGGTCAAGCTGCAAAAGACTATTGGCAAGTAACTGCTCTACTTTAATGTCCATGCAATTTTGGCCACTGAGACAAGTTTCTTTTGTGGGATGATAAACAAATCCTATGTGTTTAAGAAGAAGGGATTCTCTATCAGGTGCAAGTTTCTGTAAAGCTTTGTATCTCGGCTCTTCACTCAGAACTGCATGAATTTCACTCATTTTATCTGAACTGGGTGTTGCATTAAGATCTAGGTCATAGAACAGTTCTGAATGTTCAAAAAGCATTTCCTGAAACTCCTCTTTGGCTTTTTCAACTATTTCCCTCTGATGCCTGCTATATACTTCTTTACTGTCTGCATCAGTGATATATTTGAATGCTTCATCCTCCATAACAAAGCACATAACTTCTTCCCATGGCTGCCCAGGTGAAATGAACTGTATTTTCTCAAGAGTTTTTTTGAACTTCTCCTTCATTTCAACCCTCCTCTTCTCAGATATAAGATGCTGTACATGGTTTTGATAGACTTTTTCAGCTTCTAATGTACTGAGAAGGTCAAATGGAATCCTCCTATCATTCACTTTGTCTATATGGTCGGTTTCATCCCAGGGTGTTTTTTCTAATACAATAAAACAAAGTTGGAAGTCTGGCCTTTTCTCCATTATCTTCAAGGCTTCTGACCAGTTCAGGTGTTCAATCTCATCAAGGTTTGACAGCAATGTGTTAAAAGCTCTTGGCAGTGTATTAATATATTCTTCTCTTCTTTTTCTTATATGTTCCTGTTTAAGCTGCTCTATGTGTTTTGAAAATGTATTTTTGGCCTTTTTTGTTCCTTCCAAATGTATGTACTCCTCGTAATCAGGATGATTTTTCAGTTTATTACTAACAGTTTTCCAAGTTGCATGATAGTCTCTCACAGTTTGCACAAGTTTTTCAAATTTATCTGTTGCAGTAACAACAAGTTGTCTCTGTGTCTTATAGGCATCCAGATACGGAATTATTTTAGGTTTGCCACGAGTTTTATCCATCATTTGTACCAGTGCAGTAAAACATGTCTCAACATTGATATTGAATCTTGCTGATGTTTCCACTACCACAAGGTTCTTTTTATTTGAAGCAAACGCCTGAACCTCTCTTAGATAATGATCCACACATTCATCACATTTAGTTGCTGCTATTATTATAGGTTTTTTAGATTTTGAGAGCTGGATATAGAGATTATTCACAAATTTAAGTTGATCATCGAATTTCCTATTGCATCCTTGGCTAACATCAATGCATAATAAAAAGCCATCTATGTTCAGTTTCCCTTCAGGCATTTGTTTTTGCTCAAAGTCTTGCTCCAAGCCTAGCTGATCTGTGCAAATGTACATTAATTTTTCTGCTGACTGCAATTTGGAGGCAGCTGCCCGTTTTATATATGGTTGTAAATTCGTACTCCGATGAGGCAAGAAAGTCTGATCATCAATGAACTCAGTCTGTTCAATTACATGAACTTTGCATTCTGTTCCATCCTCACCGCTTTGTGTTACGTCACCCCAGAACAAAAAGTGATCATTATTAACAACTCGTCCTCCAAAGTCAATTGTGCTAAGCACAGAGGTATGCTCAGGATAATATTCATCTGCTTTCGAACGCACAAACCTATTGCACAAACATGACTTTCCAACTCCACAATTACCTTTGTCTTTTTCAGTTCCAGATAGTCCAACCACACTAATAGCATAGGATGGGGGACGAGGCTCTTTGTTTTTAGCCATCATAACTTTCTTCTCGTCCTTCTGCACTCATCAAGATAACTGAATGTGGTTTTCATTCTGAAAAAAACTCTTCAAATTAAAACTGTATATCCTCGTCTCCAGGATTAATTTCAGTTTTCCTTGTTTCCCCCATCACCATGAGAGCTTATATATTCAGGATTAGGTGAATCATCGTCCTATAAGAGAAAAAAGTCATTTTTTAAAATGTTGACTATGGTTTCACTGAATATTTAAGATACAAAATCAATAAGCAAAAGTGAATCAATTTCAATTTTAATTTACAAATATCATATTACAAATGCCCTTTTCAAATTAGGAGGAAATTTTATAAATACTTTAAATAAAACATTTGTAGTTCAGACTGCACCCTTTTATATTATTTAAAGCACCAAAACTTAAACTTGCATCTGAAAAATTTTCAACTACTGTTGCTAAATTAACACTTTAAACTACTCTAAAAGATGAGAGAAAAATAAATTCTGTGGGGTATTTTTCAGGTTGTTGGCTCTGTGCATTTGGCAGCACTTTACACAATCAGTTCCATTGTTTCTTTTGTTTGTTTTGGTCTTTCACATACCACAAGGCAATGAAGTGAGCTGTAGCTCACGAAAGCTTATGCTCAAATAAATTGGTTAATCTCTAAGGTGCCACAAGTACTCCTTTTCTTTTTGCGAATACAGACTAACACGGCTGCTACTCTGAAACCTAAAAGAGAAGAACACTGAATTCTCACCTAGATAAAAACAATACAAAATATACTCCCTATGGAACTGATGCTGTACAAACCTATGCATCTCTCTAAACAGGTGAGTAGTTCAACTGAAGTTAATGGGACTATTCATATGAACAAAGTTACACGGATAGGTTAGGGTCTTATGTTTGTAAAATCCAAGTCCTACTAAAAATAGGAGGAATCTGCATGATAGTCCTTGAATACTTATTTCAGTAAAGAAATGCTTAAAAACAGAGTATAAAAACAAAAGACTTGGTAGAGTAACTAAGGAGTACACACACATACCAAAAACTAATATTTGGTATTTTTTTTTTAAATGGACTAGATTTCATAGTTGACAGCAACCCATTTGAGCAGAACAAATCACTAACAAAGTGTAGAAGGAAACAAAATGTTATCATCCAGAATTGGGATTTACAAAATAACCTTAATACTGAAATACACACAATCTTTATTTTTTACTCGGTACCATTCACGTTGCTTTCAAGAAAAATAAAGGTTTAGAATTTGTTGTAAACAACAACAACAAAATTTTAAACAAACACCAAATATAATGGAGTTACTCCAGGTTCACAATGGTATCTCTGAAACAATAATATGGCACAAAGACTATCACTAACTTTTAGCTTTCTTAACAGATCATCTATTTAATTTAGAAACTATGAAGTTATGGGGAGAGGGGAAAGAGTGGAGTACATTTCAATAGCTAGTCTATTCTAATTATGATCCCCTTTGACAGACTTCTGGGAAAACAAGGAGTATCAGATGACACGGAAGACTTGGTAGGACTACTGCTAGATTAGAGTACCACCCATACATTTGTACAGATGTATGGGCTCATAAAACAAACATGCAATTGTGCATGTATAAGCAACCAAAACACAAAGAAAAATTTTTAGGTGGGCTATATAGACTGAAATTCCAATTTTGTATCTCAATTTTGAAATCAGACTTAAATTATAATTTAGTCTTTATTTTTATTATCCTAAGAAATCCATCAACTACAGTGGATATGAATGATATGATTCCAAGAAAGCTTCTTTAGGCCTTGTTTACACAGGATGTTAGTACACTGCAAACTAATGTGCTGCAGATTTGCACCGTGGCTTGCTGCACACTAATGTCTCATATAGACAAGCTCTTAGTTTTAACAAAAACAAAAAAAAGGTTGGCATAATACATTTCCAAAACCCGCCAAAGTTTAGGTCAAGACTTAAAACAGATAGGCAAATATTAAAATGTATCTATATTTGAAATTCTAAATTAAGATGAGGCAAATAAGAATGTATTGTAAATAGACTAAACTGATGTCAAATATTCAAGAAATTATTTTTCATGGCTTTATCTTGTAAAGCCAATGTAACGCTTCAACACAGCTTTCCATTTGACATCTAGATTAGAAAGAACTAAAACTGAGCTTCAAACTGATCAGAAGCAAAATGCTTACATGTACCATCCGTTGTCATGATACTCACTTACTTAAAATTTAAACAGTTTTCACCTAGTGTTATCTCAGCTATGCTGCTATTACTAAAATGGGTAATTTTAAAACCAAATACATTTCATTAAAAACAAGGAATTTAAACTCAGCTTGATTTCTACATCACAGTGAGTTTTTTGGTCACAAGAGGCAAAACTATTATGCATTTTATTATGCTTGATATTATTTGCCAACAGTCTCTGACAGAAACATGTTCAAAAAGAGTAAAACAATGTAAGATTTTGTAAGTTCCTTCTTCCTAGGTTTTTCTCTGTTCTTACAACCCGGAGAATGCAGGCCTAAAACAAAATGGCTCTCTCAGCAAAACTATTTAGCAAAAATAAATTGGAACACTGTTTATAGATAATACTAGGTTTATTTGTCTTTTAAAGTAAAACACATTATAGTGGCATCATTCACAAGATAAGAATTAGACACTGAGTCAACATTTTCATTATAAACTACTTTCTGTTCCCCACAGTCCAGTAAAAATTTGCTGTGGACTGAAGGTTGGAATGTAAAGTCTTGGCCAAGGAGGTCTGATTCACTGATTTATTTCAAAAGACATATCATTTGAAATCCAGTTAGTTGAAAAAAATAGTAAACAATAATTTCAGTTACTATATCTACAAATTTAAGGTTTCATTTTCACATTCTCCTTTTCGATTTTTAAAAGTTTTATTTCCCTTGTGACTGTGAGATGGCATAAACAGGACAAAATGAATGACAACACCAAAGACTGATACCAGCTGCAGACAGAATACTGTCAAATGAGAGGTAAACAAACATCATAGAAAAAAAATCTTCTAAGCTTTCAGTTATAACAAACTTGGAGTTACTCATAATTCTAGCATATAAATGTTTTCAGACATAATTGATTTTTATTTAATGTATCCCCTTTAATATATAAACTGCACACTAAGTCTTTCCTTCTCCTCTCCTTTTAAGGAATCTGGGTTCAGAACATAATACCAACTTTCCAGTTGTACAACTGAGAAGACAGGATGGAAGTTATTCTAAAAGACTAAAGACCTAAGAACAAGAGGAATTAAGAGATATTTCAACTGGGAATAACAGAATGAAATTAAGGAAAGAAAAATAGGTTTTTTTGCTGAGTAGCAGTGAAAAGTTCCTGACAGGTGTATTAGACTGATGAAGATCTTTCATGGAAAGTGGTAAAAGTTGCATCAGTTGGAGCGTTGGAGCATTAACAAGATGGACAAAGGAAAAAATTGTAAGGAGGGTTGGCATTAGTAGGAACATGAACTACGTGACCCAGCAGGTCTTTTTCCATCTCATTCATGTACAGATATAGCTATAGATAGATATCGAATTAGAAAATAACACAAATAGACAATGAAATGCCTTTTAAATAAATACATGAGAAAGTAATAAACCTGTTAAAGAAATAAGCTGACTATACATTATGAGTAGGCGTTTAACAGACCATTACTACTATATTGTTCCCTAAAGGGAAGCAAGATTTTCTTCTAAGTACACCAATATAACCCTACCTCTAAATGTTCCATGTTTACAAATTTTGTAAACTTACAAATGTGCATTTTCTATAAATTCATGGTAAGATATGAGTTATATAGTCTTATTCTATTCAACATAAAATAATTACACTGAAGTATCATTAAAGATCTGATTAAAACATGAATTTCTAGAAACTTTCCCTAGGGTTTTTGATTGCTGGGAGTTCAGACCTTTGTTTTGTTTCATTTCTAAAATCCCCTACCTTCCAAAATTTTGGGGTTACTAAAGGATCACAGAGTTTCTATTTTTGGGTCCCTAAAAGAAGGGCTTTGTGAATTAAAGCATACTGAGGAAATGCATGACATCATTGCAAAAAGAGTTGCTTTGAATTGTCTATGTCTTGCCATGGGACTGAACGGGTTTTTAAATTTCAGAATGTAGTTATAAAAAAAAAAACCCATAACATATGTTGTGACCAGTATCTATTCACTTCTACTAATTTTTCAGAAGATCATGAAGATCAAAAGCCTAAACTTACCCTGATAGAAGCAAGGTACCAAGCAAGAAGATGGTTAACTTCCAGAGATTTCCCTGCAGCGATGTCACACATTTAAACTATCTCCTTCAATTAGTCCTTCCTTGAGGGATCTGAAAATGAACATATGATCCATTAATACTTTCAAAGTTATAAAGACATAAGAAAACCAGCATTGGGATAAGGTACAAAACTTTATTTTATTCATCAGAAAGATTTACTTTAGTTTAAATCTATAAATACATGAATTACATTTGTTTCCGCATATATGTACCTTAAAAATACTTACAAGAAATATATTTTTAAAATACAGTTATATATTACATTACAAGCTACTAGGTATGTTTGTCATTAGGAAGTTACAGTGGGTTATAACAATTGGAGCAGAAAAATAAAAGCATTGCTATGGCTCAAGATGAAAAACCCTCAGCTTTTGGAAATAAGTTTTTTTTATTTTAATCCTCCCCAAAAATTGAATTTATACCAAGGGATGCTGCAATAAAGTAATAAGAGAGGAAAGGTGTTACACTTCTACTATGCTGTCCTTTGAAAAAAAGAACATGAACAAAGGTTCATTTTTTCCTGTCTCTGGTGGTGGTTCAGTTCTTAATAAGACTGGTTTTATTTTATTTTATTTTGGGGGGGGGAGGGGGGGAATACAATGAAACCTTGAGTCCTGGGAAACATTCACTAGGTTTTAGTGTTCAAGGCTGGGTATGAACTATATTGATGATGCATATACCAGAGCCATTGAACCACCAGTATTCATTTCCTTACTTTCAGACATCTCAGAATGTTCCAGGATGTTAGTTACCAAGAGTTACCCTTAGGTGTTACTTATGACAGCCTTTGTAAAGTGAGTTGATAGTCTCAGTCCATTGCCTAGTGGACAAGGGTGCACACACCTCACTTCAACATTCATGCACATTAAACAAAGCTGTTTAGGAATGCTTGCACTACCTCTGACCATATTTAAACTTAAGTATTCAAGACTGCCAATTGGGCACCTTTCATAAGCATTAAAAAATGTAGTAAGAGTGACTATAACCAAACTGAATTATTCATTAAAAAAATTGAAAATGTGTAAATAACTTCAATAAATTATTTTAAAACGGTTAAAAACCCAGAAACACTGAACCAAGGAAGAAAACATTCAGGCTACATTTCAGGAAATAAGTGCAACACAGGAATAACTAACAAGAATAAATACAGAAACAAACTACCAAGAGAGGTGGCTTGAGCACTAACATTGCAGGTATTTCAAGATCAGAGAAGATATTATGTTGAATGGAACAGTAAGTAGTAAAGCGAAATAGATAGCGGATGAGACTGGATGATCCAAATTTTTATTTGTTTCTGTTTTCTTTATTATATGAATTCTAAATATATCACATTACATTTTTAAAGAGCAATACAACCTAATTAATCCTATAAAGAAACTGCTATCCTCATTTTACAAACTGGGACGGACAGAAAAATTAAGTGCTTTGCCCAAAGTGGACCCCCCCCCCAAAAAAGGCAAAACTCGGCTTAAAAAACAGGTGTTTCAAGTTCTCAGTCCCTTTCTCAATCCACTAGATTTTCCATTTCATCTCTGACTGACTAATACTATATTCAGTTTGAAAATCCCTAATTCTCTTAAGATTTAACATAACCTACAAATTATTTCCACTTTTAAAAACAAAACACCCCACAGAGCTCTCAGGATGGGATCTTATATTCCAATTGTTCTAAGAGTAACTATATTTTGACTACTTGTGGCACCTTAGAGACTAACCAATTTATCTGAGCATAAGCTTTCGTGAGCTACAGCTCACTTCATCGGATGCATACTGTGGAAAGTGTAGAAGATCTTTTATACACACAAAGCATATAAAAGATCTTCTACACTTTCCACAGTATGCATCCGATGAAGTGAGCTGTAGCTCACGAAAGCTTATGCTCAAATAAATTGGTTAGTCTCTAAGGTGCCACAAGTAGGCCTTTTATTTTTGCGAATACAGACTAACACGGCTATTACTCTGAAACCTATATTTTGACTGTTAGCAATTTCACATAGTGCTCACCAAATAAATTTACCATTTGCTATTTTTAAATTTCTTTCTAAAATCCTAGGAAGCATTTTTATGACTATTACATTACTGTATTCATATAAAAAGTTAACTACAAGTGGATGTTACATTCAGGAACCACCACAACATGTGTTGTCTTGAAATCTCAAACAACTGTTTTATGAAGACACACATGTTGGCAAACAGTAATGGTTCAAATTACCATCATTATGGAAGTCTGAACTTTTTTTCTCTAAATTAGGCTATTGGTCTTCTACAGAAGATTTTCAAATATCTGAAAGACAACTGTTAAATTTAGATACAATACCATTATTTAAACAGAAGCAAAAAGTAAAACAGTAACACAAAATTAGACTAGGCCTGATCTTGTAGTCATTATGCAGGAGCAACTCCCATTAAAGATATTCATGCTGTTCAACAAAAGTTTCTCAGTGCAAAGACTGCAGGATCAGGCTCTCCATTTACAGATAACATTATAGTTACTCAAAGACCACAAAAGCGTTGCTGGAAGGAAGATTACCAAAGGGAATTATGGGGAATTCACAACAGAACCTGCAAGATAATGGGATAAAGGAAGTGATGAAGAGGGAAAAAAAGAAAAAAGTCATAATTAGAGGAAGAAACTGTGAAACTGAACTAAAACCAGTTTGGCATGTGGAAGAAAAGAGAATAAATCCAGTCACTAAAAGGACAGAGAAAATAGTGGAGCAGAACTCAGCAACCCATATTTATTGTACCACGTAAATCATGTGTCCTTTTTGTTTAAGGAGGAATTGTGATGGATGGCCTAGGCCCCAGTAACTAAAAGTCAGGAGATCTGGGTTCTATTTCTAGTTCTGCCACTGACTTTTATGACCTTGGGCAAATCAAACATCTTTGTCCCAGTTTCCCTCGCTGTAAAATGAAAATAATGCTTACTCACATTTGTAAAGTGTTTAGAGATCTATGCATAAAAAGCACTCTCCAAGTACCAAATATTATTAACTATTATAAAGAGAAACTTAAGGCCAAATTTTACCTTTGAAAACATTTTGCAGTGCCTGGGATTTCTAAAAGTATCGTCAGTAACAAATGTTATCTTCCAGTGCTAAAATAATTGCTCACTATAGTAGTAGTATAAAATTATTGTAGATTTACTCAACATTTTCTCTAGTAACTGCCCATTTACAGTAGAACATCTCTATGCACACCTCTATGTGACTAAATTTTGAAGTCATGAATTACTCATTCATTCCAGACATCCACTTAGACAAACTTTTATTCCTTCAATAAAGGTAAATTCACATTTAGAATCAACTCTAGAAGCTGCTTTCTGGAAAATTTAAAGAATATCCCACATATTAGTCTATTAAAAATAATAAATGTTTCAAATTATATGTAAGGCATCCTCCAGGAGTGCCACTATATTTACCTTTAGTTAAGGAAGTACTTTTTGGTGGTCTGATAAGATTGCCAGCATCCTTTAATACCTTCATTAAAAGGAATGGAATTATTTTTAGTAGCATTATTCTTTAATAAAGATGCTCAGAAAACCCAAATATATTAATATGTTTATGTAAACTTCATAGAGAAATTTTCCTTGAAAGTAAAGACCTATGGGACAAAAAAAATTTAGCTTTAACCTCAAAAAACAAATTCTGTTTGTTTATACTTGTGCTAACAATAGGATTTTAAGACCATTTGTTCTGAGCATAAAATATTTAATTGGATTAATTATGTTACCAATGCCACACCTTAGAAAAAATAAAGCCTAACACCACCAAAAGAAGAAACTTGGCTGTAAGTTTTTCATTTTATTGCGTTGTTCACAATTGCACTATTAAACCTATTTACATTCCAATCAAGCTTATAAAAGGTGTTTTAATAATTTGCATATTCAGTGTTTAGAATATTATTTTCCCAAATTAAAAGCAACAAGCTAGTGATAACGTAACAAACTCTTAAAGTAGTATTCTGACACTGTATGATGTACTATATCGCCACTAAAAATATCACCACTATATTAACTGCACACTCACTATGTTATAGTAAAATTACTGTATTTAAGTTGTAGCATATTACCATAAACAAAACCAATAGCGCCCATGTCAAAAATGTACCTGGATGCTCATTTATAAACCAACAAGTTTTAAATATGCACTGTTAATTCTTTTTTTTTTTTTAAAAGCATAATTCTGGGATTATGGTAACTGTTGTCACAGCTGAAAACAGCTTTCATACCACAGAACCTTATAAGGTAGGACTCCGTGACATCAACACAATAAAAAAATACCACCTATTCACTCCGCATTCATTTATGACATGGGTATTCCAGTATCAGTGCTGTAATTCATTTCAATAGTAGTGAAAGCCTTCCAAAGACACACAGTTAAAATGGACGTTCGATTGATCAGCAAATGCAGTGATCCATTTCAGTTTTATTCTGCAGTGCACACTTTTAAAAAAATTCTGTCAATCTCTACTACCTAAGCAAAAAAAAATAAATTATCTGTGTGAATCTCAACTTAAGAACACACACACACACACACACCTCTATGACTATTTTGTTTTGGACTTAAAATGTTTGACTCCCACTTATTAGGTAAATCCTTAGCACTGAGTATACCGAAAGCCTCATACCCAGAGGGGGCAAAAAAGGGGGGTAGCTTCCCATTTTCGCTGTTATTGATCCTAAATTTTTTTTAACAGATCCAGTGTTTCACCCTCCCTATATCATGCATCTGCAGCACCGTACTGTTATTTCTATATGTATCTCTGGAGCTTTCCTTGGGTGGAGAAAGTCTAAAGGTTACACCGGTGGAAGGGATATAAATGCTGTAAATTGCAACATCTTATCCTGGATCCCCTATTTCAAAGGCTTAAAACCCACCTGGTGGAAAAATAGAAACGCACACACATCATTAAGGGAGCGAAGTTTGCTGAGATTTAATTTCAAGGAATTTTTGAGGCGTGAGAGAAGGGGGCGAGGGTGGGAGAACTGAGAACAGTTGAAATCCATTAGAGAAGGGGAAAAAAGAGAAAGGAAGAATTAGGAGGAGGAGGAGGAAGGAAGGCGAGAGGACGAGGAAAGCTCCCCCCACAACCGTGACCAGCTGGCAGCCTCGTACGGCAGGCTCAGACCCTCCCATTGCTCAGGCCTTGCCCTTCACCTGTCTGGGACCAGGCAAGCTCACTCCTCTCCCGCCCTCCCCCGCGCGTAGGTGGCGGGCGGCGCTGGGGCAGCCGGCTCCCGGTTCCGCCGCTCCCAGCGGGCAGCCGTCCCGGCTCTCCGAATGGTTACACCCAGCGGCGGCGCCAGCTCCCCCTTCTCCGCCGGCCGGCCCCGGCCCCCGCAGCCCGGGGTGGGGAGCCGGGTGAGATCCCAGGGGGACGGATTCTTTCCCCTACCTCGCGCGGTCGGGATCCGGCTCCTCCGCGGCGGCGGGGGTAGCAGCATTCCCGGGACGCGCTCTCCTCGCCAGCGGCTTCTCCTCCCCGCCGGGCTTCCTGGACTCGCCGGCCCTCAGCCGCCGCGGCCCCGTCCCACCTCCCTGGCGCTCTCGGCTCAGTAATGGCGGCCGCTGAGCCTCCCCGGCTCTCGCTTCGCTGACGGAGTCTCTCTCTCTCTCTCTCTCTCCCCCTAACTTTACCTCAGCAGCTTCCCTCCCGCTCCCGCCGCCGCGCGCTCCCGACGCCCGGCTGCGCGTGCGCGGGAAGAAGCTCTGCTGCTCCCGCGAATTTCCTGGGAAGCTGGGCGGACGCGCGCCTTCCCGCACTCCCAGTGCGCGCATCCGTACGGGCGCGAGCTGCCGCGGCTGATTTACTCCCTCTTGGCTAAATGGCTAGTCCAAGGAACTGGCAGAGGTTGAGCCTCCGGTTCTAATCCCACCTCAAACCCTCATTAAGGGCTACGTGTGCGGTCCTGGACACCAGACACTTAAGCCCAGCTTTTTGAAAGTAGCTGTCCAAAACACTGAGCAGATGAAGATGGTCTTTTACAAGAGGGGGAATACAACCTTTGCCCACACCCCCCATCCTCCCCTCTATAAAAATAGGGTAGTGACACTTGCCTACCTAGTAACATAGTTTGGGAAATTTAATTCACACAGGAAAAAAAGCAAGAATTAAAAGCGTGAGGGCACAACAATCAGTACTACAGCCTATGAAATTTCCTTAACGCTTCCCCTTCTGAGACTGTTTTCAAGTGCTTATAACTTTGCCAGACTATAACTGTTTGGACTGAGAATTCCAGCCAACACCTGCTGCTCCTCAAAGTCATCTAAGGAGTCAGTGGAGCCCCAAGGAACTCTGCCCAGAGACGTGATCTACAGCTGTGGGTCCTTTCCCGAACTTTCTCCTCTCTGCCCCCTTCTCCACTTTCCTTCTCCTGCTGTGACGGATGGCTGTCTTAGCCAGCATCAGGAGCAAGCTGACAAGGAAATCTTGCAACTTTCTGAGGCTACAGCTTGGGGGTGAGTGAATCAGGAGGTGCAGGGAGAAGTGTAGCTAGAACCTCAGTAGGAGGTTCTGAAGGAAGGGCTGCAACCTGATGCATTCTGTGTAGATGTGCACCAGGTACACAAAAAGGACAGTTGTTAGGGGAGTTTGTGTTTGTGAACCACACCAGGTACACAGCTGTGCTCAGGGTTCTATGAAGGAACCGCCAACCATAGGCAACGTATGGGGGATGTTGGGGCATGCAAGGTCAAGTATACCTCCCCCAGATTTGTGCTTGGCCTGCCAGGGGGAAGGAAAAGGGCTCTGTCCTTGTCTCGCTGCACCTGCCCCCTGGCACACTCAGGCCCTGTCACTGCCAACCAGGCTTGGTTGGGGACCAGCCACTTCTCACGTCCGCTGCTCCTGGTTGCTGCTCTGCGAGAGCCAGGGTACAGAGGCACATTTCCGGATCCCTCAGCCCCTGTCCCCAGCAGCCGTGCCTGGGCAGTGGGCAACCCACTGCCTCTGCAGTTTGGCTCGTACAGGCAACCATTGCGCTTCATAGAGCAGTGACCCAGAGCAGCCAGCTTTAGCTGACTCCTTCGAGAAGCGGCTCCTTCCTAGGCCCGACTGCCAGGGAGAATGCTCAAATGTGCCAGGGGGCAGTGGGAGGAGGACAGAGCCTCCTTCTCCCCTACAGCTAATTCTGGTGGGGCAGCGAAAGCATGGGGGTCGAGACTGGGAGCAGAGCAGGGAGGTCATTGGACAGAGGAGATATGTGGGGTGGTCACATGTCCTTCCCTTTAGATTGTGCCCCCCCCAACATAAGGAGGCACAAGTTGTCTATGCCATTGACTAATATCCCTGGCAAGCTGTGGGACCAGAATGGAGTGCAGACTGGCCCACTGGGGCTCCTCGCCCTCCTTCAGTGGCAACAAGTCCCACCACTTGGTGTCGGGGCAGGACACAAGGGCAAGGAAGTGGATGGTGTGAAGCACAAGTAATACAGATGTTTTTCCTGGGCCCAGTTCAGAGGCAAACCAGCTGAATATTGTGCATTCGGCTCTGGTTGCATGTTTGGGTCAGCCAGGGAGGCTCACAGGACAGGGACCCATTGATGAGTTCCAGAGGGCCAGGGTGGATAGCCTCAGGCAGTGGTTAAGGACCATAGGTCCTCTCAGACCCTCCTATTATAGTCCAGGAGGTCTCAGACTGGTGGTACCAGCCAGGACCAACCTCCAGTGCACCAAGGGAGATTCTACCACCTGCACACACAGATGAGGGTTATGTAGCAGGGGTTCTGAGAGGAGATCCTCCCGCTAGGTGGCTGCCACTTTCTTGGTTGCAGAGACTAGCTTCCAGGTCCTGGTGGAAGACTGGCAGCTCAGAGGTCTGAGGGGACACACTGGTCATACTGGAGTCTTCAGAGGTGCTGGAGGAAAGTATGCACCAGCGTGCTCCACCCTAGACTACCTGCACTGTAAAGGAGACTCTGCAGGACATGGAAATGGAAGGCAGGGACCTGGAAGGCAGGGACCTGGCTGCAGTTGCAGACCAAGCCCTGCCTTCCCTACCCCAGGGGGAGACTCAGCACATCCACAAAGACCTAGTGCAGCCTTGGCCAGAAAAACTCCAGGATTATCTTCTGGGGACCATCCAGGGTTCCCAGCGGCAGGCTCAGTGTGGTAAATTAGTTCCAGAGCATCTGATTGAGCACCAGTGCCCTCCCGCAAAAGGGAAAGGTACCGGAACAGCCCTGTCCATCTCTGCAACCAGTGACCAACCTGGTCTTGTTATTGACCCAATTCTCCAGGGCCATGATGAGCTGCCACAATCTTAACAACCAGTTCCCTCCTCACCCCCCAAGGGGGTCGTGGCCCACCCTTGCCCCCCGGGACTCCTGCCCCATCCACCCCCCTCCCCTGTCCCCAGAACCCGGCAGGAGGGTCTCGTGGGCCACCGCAGTGGGTGCCCACCATGCCCTGCCCCTAAGAGCCAGAGGGACCTGCCGGGGGATGAGGTAGGGAGGTGGGTGCTTACCTGGGGCGGCTCCCAGGAAGCATCCGGCAGGTCCCTCTGGCTCCTGGAGGCGGGATAGCGTAGCTAGGAGGGGAGCAGGGGGAGCAGCTGCTCCCCCCACCAGTCACATCAAAAGTGGCCCCTTAGGCACCAACTCCCTGGGTGCTCCGGGGCTGGAGCACCCATGGGGAAAATTTGGTGGATGCAGAGCACCCACTGGCAGCTCCCCGCCCCACGCCCGGCCCCAGCTCACCTCTGCTCCACCTCCACCTCCTCCCCTGAACACGCTGCCCCGCTCTCCTTCTCCGCCCCACCCCCCCAGGTTTCCCGCCAATCAGCTGTTCATGCAACAAGCCTGGGAGGGCTGAGAAGCAGGTGGCGGCTTCGCGCTCAGGCCCAGGGAGGTGGAGGTGAGCTGGGGCAGGGAGCGGTTCCCCTGCGCATCCCCCAAGTTACCTGCTACAGCGCGGGCAGCCCTCCTCACGCCCCCCCCCCGCCCCAGCTCACCTCCGCTCCCCCTCCGCCTCCCTGGGCCTGAGCGTGAAGCTGCCACTTGCTTCTCAGCCCTCCCAGGCTTTCCGCGCGAACAGCTGATTCGTGGGAAGCTGGGGGGTGGGGCGGAGAAGCAGAACGGGGCGGTGCATTCAGGGGAGGAGGCAGAGCAGAGGTGAGGTGAGGTGAGCTGGTGCCATGCAGGGAGCTGCCGGTGGGTGCTCTGAACCCACCAAAATTTTTCCCATGGGTACTCCAGCCCCGGAGCACCCATAGAGTCGGTGCCTAAGGTGCCACTTTTGGCCAGTTGTTAAATTTAGAAGCCCTTTTAGAACCGGTTGTCCCTCATGGGAGAACCAGTTCTAAAAGGGCTTCTAAATTTAACAACCAGTTCCAGCGAACCGGTGCAAACCAGCTCCAGCTCACCACTGCTCCAGGGGGAAGGGATCAGTGGCAGAACGGTAGATGCCCAGATAGAGTAGCAGACCTGTACCCCAGCAGATGGCACAGAGAGCAGATTGGAGGGCGCCCACCTGCCACATATCACTGAGATACGTGGGAGGGGATGAAGCAGAAGGGGTCAAGCTTGGGAGAGGACAGACAGAAGAGCCTGTCCCCTTTAGATCGTGCAATGGAACCCAAAATTCCTAAGTCTCAACATACCTCTGCTGCCAGCAAACATCTCTGAAACCCACTGACAAAGTGTATCATTCCCTTTTAATGCTGGTCTGCATAAAGAACCACCCTACTACTGCTATCAGTCACTTTATTAGCTCAAGCAGCAGAAGCGTATGGAAGTGTAAAGGTTCCAGCTCTGTCGATGATCCATGTGGGTGTCCATACAATGCCAAAAAATTGAATTTGTTTGGGTTTTTTCAATTTGCCTTTTTAAAATCATAGGAAATTAACAGAAACGGAAACCACCAAACATTAAGCCTGAGAAATCAGGCATTCCCTAATTCTAGCATTTCTTAACTTTCGAGTCCTTAACTTGGCAGACTTAATAACGTTCTTTTGTGCATAATTATATATACATATTATAAAATTCTGGAAAGAAAACAGGAAATTAGACGGCTAGTTCAACAATCTTCTAATCCCTTCTGAAGACCCGCTTCTTCTGAGTTCTTCTCTACATGAGAAAGTTACACCAATTTAACATCATTGGTTTAGAAACCAATTTCGTAAATTGGTAAAAACTACTTGTGTGAACACTTTCAGTATAAGAATACCCATACCAATTTAGCTTACATCAATTCCTCACTGGTTTAAGTTAAATCAATATGATCCACTTTAAAACTGAAATGAAAGAGAGTGTCCACACAAGAGGCCTGAACCAATTTAGGGTTTTTTAAACTCACCACTACAGCATCCTACTTTTCTGAGTTTTGAATTTTTAATCTTAACTCTGAATTGCCTGACTTTCAAGTACTTGGGGTATTTTTCTTTTTCTGTTTTGTTTAAAGTTTACAACTTAGAGCATTATAATTACATTTTACATTACTGCATATCAAGTTACAGTTTAAATTCTGTCTGAAAGTTTTTGCCTCATATTTTAAGAAAACTTATTTGTATAGCTTTCTAAAAGCATTGAAATATTATTGTTTATCTGAACATTTTAAAGTAATGTAATTTAAAGTAATTTTTAAAAAATGTTTTATCCCATATATTTGTGTATAAGGCAACTCACATATGAACCACCCATTTTGCCTGCAATCTGAACATTAAAGTCATTCAGGGAGTAAAATTAAAACAATCTGAGTTGGTTTATATTTTTATATAAACCATAGTACTAAGTGGGACCAGGAAATATCAGGATAACCTGTCCAGCAAGCCTATACC